AGCTATTACCATTAATAGCCTTTTTAGTGCCATTCTTAAGTTTCAGGTAATATAAACATAAAATAAAATAGAATCTCAAAGGTCACTTGCAAAAATGGATGTTAGCTTTCATTTAGTTCCTCTTAAATGAGAGCTTGGAAAATGATAAATAACAATAGATAGCTACATAGATACTAATGAAGATGAAACAATTATATTAGAATGGAAAAACTAGAACTCTAAAAGAATAATGAAAACTAAAGCAAACAGTATGTCATATGTTTATGAAAAACAGAACACAGAAACTCAGTTGCTATTTTAATTGCAAAAGGTTTTCAAATTTCAACGACAGTGTTAAGGCAGAAAGTCTAAAGCAAAGTTGGGTTTAGCTTCAAGAGATTACTGAGTTATCGACTTAGGCCTTTTTTAGCCAAACACAAAGGGTCACTTTCTTTTTTTCGTAGGTTTTTTGTTTTCAAGGGGGAGTTGAGACAGGGTCTCAGTATGCAGTTCAGGTTGGCATTGAGCTGACTGCATTGCTCAGGCTCACTCAAACTCACTGCAGCTCTCCTTGCCTCAGCTCCCTGAGTGCTGGGATTACAAATACACACCATCCCATCCACTTGTCCCTTTCAAATACAAAAAATAACACAAACTGCAAAATGTTTTCAATTGTTATCATGAATGAGTTGGCACTTGCAAGTTACATTTAAATTAATTTGAAACTTACTTCTTTATAATTAATCAAAAATTTAAATAGATCTTAACATATCTATTGAATAAAAACCTGTTAAAAATTTTGGCACAATATAAATAATTCAACAGGAACAACGCTCATGACCTCGGTTCATTTTCATTTGGATTCCTTTTATTCTGTATCATAACCACTCAGCAAAACACAGAAAATATTACAGTTCAGTTGGTACGGTTTAGATCCAGAATATCCAACAAAACTCTCATGCACTCAAAGGCAGGGCTTTTGGAAGGTGATTGGATCACAGTGTGCTATACCAAATAATCCACTGATGAACCCATAACTGAATGTGCTAATGGAAGGTGAATCTAGCTGGGAAAGATGTGTCAGTGGAGGTGTCATCTGGCAGGATGTGTCTTCTCTCTAGCTCCTACCTTCTCCTTCTTCTGCTTCCTGGCCACCCCAAGGTGAGCAGCTTTCCTCTGCCTGACTCCTCCACGCGTGGCCTTCCTGCCTTGTAGCCAGTTGACTGTCTCCTTAACTGTGACCCAAATTAAACTCCTTATATTATGAATGTTGCATATTTCATCCTAGCACCAAAACAGTAACTAAGACAATGGCCTCAATTTATGATTTACTCACAGGCAGTCACCCACTCATACTTGTCAGCTCACAGTACCTTCCCCAGGGAGATACATACAAAAGATAAGAACTCAGGTTAGACGAGCAAGGCTAAAGACATAAAAGATGGATATTCTAATGTCAGATTAATGTAGAAAGAAATTAAGGCTTAAATTTCTTGGAGATCTTCGTGCCATTGGAAAGGAATCACCATGTAAATAAGACACAGTTCATTCAGATAATAAAAGGGTATAATGAATATTCCTCAGAGGTGAGCTACCTGCTAACTTAAAGCAGATAGTCCCATAAGTACTTTTACTTTCAGTTTTAAACAGGAGTCTTTGATGTCACTCTACAAACCCAATAATCCTGTTTCTGGTCTCCCTTTCCTAGACATTTCTGATTTATAATAACTCCAGATAAACTTTAGACATAGGCATATTGTAGTGTCAAATAGCTATTAAACCTAAAATTGAATATGACACTTCCCTAAAAGGATAAATTCAATGGTTTCCCTACGTTTAAATTTGTAGAGTACTGGTGTACAAATACTGTTTATTTCATTTAAGTGAAGGACCTCAAAGGAACCACATTTTACTTCCTAAAACTGTTCCTATCCCACTCATTTTCTATACCTTCTTATAGAGTAAAGCTTTGTTAGGTTTGTCTGGTTCATTTAAAATTTTGCAAGAGATATCATTTAATATTATCTATGGTATCGTATCTAGTGAGCTTTCCTCCTACATAGTTTCAAATTTTAAAAAGCATTGATCCAGCTTACAAAAGAACTTCACTAGTCACCCACATGGCTCAATATCAAAGGGACATTAAGCAATCACAACCCCAACACCATAGGCAAATAAATAAATTAAATAAAGCAATCCAAAGTGCAGTAAACTGTAAAGAAACAACAGGGATTGGTTGCAGGACCCTTCACCCCATGAACACCAAAACTTACCAGTGCTCAAGTTCCTTGCATGAAATAGTGCAGCAGTGCACACATCATCCTCTCTGTATACCTTAAATCACTAGATGACTTAAAATATCTAGTGTAGTGTAAATACTAAGTAAATAGTTGACATCATCTACTGTTAGGGAATAATGACAAAAAAGTGAACATGTTCAGAACGGGCTCAATTTTTTACAAATGTTTTAATCTGGAGGCCTGTTGAGTCCCAGGACACAGAGTGTAAAGTTACGGAGAACCAACTGCATAGTTTTTCTCAACACATCATTAGTGGTTGATTGTTTAATATCTCCCATGTAAGAGTTCAGTCTCTTAGTTGAAGTGATGGTTTAAACTGTAAGATCCTGAATAATTTGAACTCTGTTTGGCAGAAACCATTTCTTACATCTAAAGAGCTGATGACATCTGTCACAGTGGTCACAATGTGGTCTCTACAAAGGACAAACTAGAGCACAGCAACATACTTTCTCCCAGAATGATATTAAGCCCCAGTTCTCTACCTTGAACATCACCTTCAATTTATCCTTTACAGTTGCCATCACTAGGCTCTTTAGAATGTAGCCCCCATCTACACTCTCAATTTCCTTTCACTGCTTTTTCATTTTTTAATAGCATTTATAATTTTGTGACATAACAATTAAATGTTGTCCAGGGAAAGGATCTTCTGCTCACTGAAAAATTACAAGCACCTAGGAAAAAAAACACTTGTATAATGAATCCATGTTCAGTAAAAAACCTAGTGTCTTGAGGATTCCAGTTTCACTGGTAGAGTTAACAAATACTTTCTACAATTAAGAAACATTTTGTTGTATACTATATAGTTTCAGATAGTGATCAAGTGCTTCAAAAAACCAGAGACGTGACTACTTTAGATAATCATAATTGTTTCAAGACTTAAAATCCGATACCATGCAGATTTGGACAGAATAGGAAAGTGAAGGTTAAACATGCAGAAAATACCAAACGCATAAGCTCTGGATGAAGGTCCAGTTAGTAACCCAAAACAGCAGTAAAAGCGTGTGTGTGTGTGTGTGTGTGTGTGTGTGTGTGTGTGTGTGCGCGCGCGCGCGCGCGCTGCAATAATCTGTTCATTCTAGGTGCTTTACGTGGTACTCAGTAACACTAGTAACACGTATGCACTGTCAAGTGGATAGGAAAGCGATTACATTTTACCTGCAGTACTCAAATTCCCCGAGCCTAAGTGGCTCTTCTATTCCAGTCCCTAAATTCACCAATATCTTTTTTATATAAGATTGCAAGGCACACAGTAATATTTATTAGAAACTCCTCACAGGAGCACCAGTCGTTATGAAACTGATTTAACTAGGTACTACTGCTCAGTTTAAGAATCTTTCCCTAGGCTGGACACTGTAGCTGGTAAAGCCTTGGAGGTGGAACCAAGGTGCTCCATCTTCCCCGCCCCTAGGAATTTACCTGTGGTGTGAAATGAATACCAATGGACTACTTGAGCATCACTAATGCCCCTCAGGCACCACCCCAAACCTAAACTACATGTATACCCCCACTCCACGTGTCCGACGGAAAGACCGCCAGACCCCGGGGAGAATGCTAGACCCCGGTGGGTCGGGGGCCTCTCCCTGCATTCTTAAAATAAAGGTCATTTATATTTCATACTTCTTTCCAATTCTATCACTCAGTAGTGTTAACCCAAGCCGACAATCAATACTATGTAAGTGCAACGCTAAAGGCCCAGTAAATAATTAACGATTATTACTTTTGCGTCTAGGTGACAAAGCAACGTTCCAAAGCGCCATTGTTAAATTAAACATTTTTATTCAACTGACAAAGATTCAGTTGCCAGGAGGACACAAGCAACTAATTCTATTATACGCGCTATGTTAGCCTTAAGCTCGAAATCCTGGCGATTATTTTATGTAATTTTGCAAAGAACAGAAGCCAAAAGTCCATCCTGAACTTGCCTTCCAATTCAGGCATTAAGTTCTTTCCCCACTTAGGCAGAGCACTGGAAAGTTTTCAACAACTGAAAACAACTACTTCCGGGGCGAGGCAGACGCTCTTCCGGCTGAAGAGGAAGGCGGTTTCTCCCGTCCCTACCAGCAGTTCCCCAGCAGCTTTGGCCATTCCGCCCAATCCCTCTACATCAGGACTGACTGTCTCAAGCCGAAACTGTCCGAGTCGGGGAGACGGTTCGGGGCTCAGGAGTTAGGGAACCACTTAGGGACGAGAGCCAGGGGTCGAGGCGACAGAAATTAAGGCACTGGCATCCTACAGGGAGAGTGGGAAGGAAGGTAAAACCCCAGGCAGACGCCTCTGGCGGGCCAATTCGCCTGTAAGACGCCCTGAACTCGAAAGCTGTGGGTTGAGCAGCCCGCAGGCACCGCTGTCCCGGGGCGCCACACTCAACCTCACACCAGGCGAATTCACTCATGCGCAGTGCTGCGTCGGCGTCCGGCCTGAGAAAGGGCGTAACCAATCACGCAACGCCCGCGCCTGTGCGCAGGCGCAACGCTGCTTCGGCCCGCGGCCTGGCTCGGGATGCGGCCTCCGAGGCGCGCGCCCAGCCCCAGACAGAGGGTTTGCGCATGCCCGGCGACGCCTCGGCCCCCGGCCGGGGCGTACCCTTCGCCCTTGTTGCCCCTCCACTACCTAGGAGGCGGCTGGCAGCCTGGTCAGAGTGAGGCGGCCACGGGGTACCTGAGAACTGCCCGATTCAGCTCCGGCGCCTCCCTTTGGCTTCCCTCTTCTCCACCCCCTTACCTCAGCGCAGAGCCGCGCTGCGTGTGCTCCGCCTCTTGGGTCGCGGTTACTGCTCGGTCTCGGGCCCGGCAGCACCGGGAGCTGGCGCCACCCCCTTAGCGGCCGGACCTTGGCCTGGCGCACTCGGTTCCCAGCGGGTCAGGAGGGGAAGGAAGGGCAGTGCTGGCGAGGGGAGGGGGCCGGGACTGCGCCTGGCCCGCCCGCCCCGCCTCCCGCCCCGCCGCCCCCTCCCCCTCCCCTCCCCTCCCCTCCCCCTCCCGGCTGCGACCCCGGAGTCTGAGCGCCGCCGGAGCGCTGGGCTCCACACCCGGCCTTTTTCCTGGGAACCCCTAGTGGGACAATCCCACCTTCTCCAAGGTGGTAGTCCGATTTGGGACAGTTTGTGTTTTACAGTTTCAGGTCTTTAAGGTTTTAATCTAGTTTGGGTTTTGTTTCTTTTTCTGAAGTGGGATGGGGTTGGGATTATAACAGCCCTACAGCGCCTGCCTAGCAAGCACGAGGTCCTGAGTTTGATCCCTGGTACCAATAAAAAATAAAATAAGGAACTGATGTCATTGTACACGTGGGCGATCCAATTTTACCAATTATATTTATCGAAGAGACTGTGTTCTTGTGTTTCTGGCATCTTTGTTAAATATTCACTTAGCCTCTTAGAAGACTGGTCCCATTGTTTGCCGTATGCGACAAGACTGATGAACCTAGAAGACCGGTTAAGAGAAATAAGCCAGCGCAGTAGGACAAATACTGTGTGACCTTCCTTGTGAGGAATCTAAAAAGTCGAATGCACAGAAGCAGAGAGTACAATGGTGGTTAACCAGGGCTGAGACTGGGAAATGGGGAGATGTTTATCAAGGATGCAAAGTTTTAGATAGCAATAAGTTCAAGAGCGCTATTATATAATACGAGACCTAATAGTATATTGTACGTTGAAAATTGCTAGACACTTTAAGTGTTCTTATCAAAGTAAAAATAATCATGTGATGCATAGTAACTTGATTTAGCTGTTCCAGATCTACATATATATACATTATAGTTTTGGTTAGTCAACAATTTTTTTAAAATTTAAAGTAGTAATTTCCTTCGTGTTTTCTTGGTTTGAGCTCTTCCTGACACATCACAACCTGAAACTTAAGTAAATTCTGGACCCATGTTTCGATGAGACCGTAGTGATGGTAACGGACTCAATTCCAGAGTCGAGCTCTTTACACTTGACCATGTGGTGTCTTTCTAAATGAATTTGAGTAAATGGGCCAAATAATATTAAAGCCCTTGTCAATGTAGCAGCAAGAAATATTATAGAATCCCACAAAGGATTTTAAGCAGGAGGGTGATGTCATGCCCTTGTGTTGAGCAGACCTGCTGCTGGGTCAGTCGGGAGCAAGGTGAATCTGTTCCATCAGACTAGCTAAGACAGTCTTGAACTTGCAAATCAGCTTCCTTCTGCAACAGAGATGCTCTTCTGCTTTTCACAGGCTTCCCTTGGTCAATGGTCAGCCCTGGATTGGCCTTCCCCAGCATTGCAGGGATAAGAGCCATTATAAAAGATAGGTTTCTAGGTAAAATAAGCAAAAGAGATTTCATGTCCTGCTTTAATTTTAAATTTCATAGGTACACGTGATATAACGGTGTATGCTGATTTGCTCCAGTTCAACATTTTAAGAGTCTGGACCAAATCCTTAGCAAATAGCAGGGACCATTTGTTCTCCAGTGTATGTAATTCTGCTGGGTATCTCAGAAAGAAACAGGTCAAAGGTAGGATTTGGGTTTTCTTTGTTCTCCTGGTCAGACACCACTTTACTAGCTCTCACTTTTTGCATGACCTACATTTACCTTGAGAACTAAGAAAGCTGGAAAACTTAGAAATAATAGTAGAATTTAATGATGTGAACTTTTGTAAAATCAATGTATAGAAATCAATATGATGAAACTATAGAACTACTGAGAGACTGAAGCAATATATCCTATTTTAAGGCATAATGACTCAACATGCCTAAATCCTTGTACCAGGGAGGCTGAGGCAAGAGAATCACAAGTCCAAGGTTCCTAGGCAGGTTAGTAAGGCCCTGTATCAAGATAACGGCGAAAGGGCTGGGGATGTAGTTCAGTGGTTGAGTGCGCCTGTGTTCTATCCCTAATACTGAGGCTGGGGGAAGTAGGACTTGGGGCTGGGGGTGGAGCCCAGGGATAGAGTGCTTGTGTAGCATGTGGAAGGCTCTGGTTTCCACCCCAGAACTGCAAACAGAGCAAACAAAACAATGTAGAGTCCATTCTCCTAAAATTTACCTACAAATCTAATGTACCAATAAAAACCACGATGAAGTTAACTTAAAATCTAACTGAAATCATAGTTTGGCAGAGGAAGATAATTTGACTTTATTATTTGCCCTTTGACTGAATGTCACCTTGAGTAGTTTACCAGTATCAGAGGATACAGAAAAATGGTCCTCATAGCATTATTTATAATTTATTACACTCAAGCTTCCATAACAAAATACATTAGACTGGGTGACCTGTAAACAAAAGAAATTTATTAATCACATTTTTGGAGGCTGAGAAAACCAAAGTGAATGCACCAGCAGATTTCATGTTTGATAAGGACTTGCTTTGTGCTTCATAGATGGCAACTTGTTGCCATGTGCTCCCGTGATGGAAAGAATGAATACTGACTGTGTCTTCACATGGCCAAAAGAACAAGGGTGCTTCCTTGAACCTTTTTAATAGGGTACTAATTTCTTTATTAAGGTGGGGCCCTCATGATTTAATCACTTCCCAAAAGCCCCACCTCTTAATGTTACCACATTTGGGATTAACTTTCAACACAGCACATAAAAAGTAACTATAGCAACCTAGTTGGGGAAACTAATACATGGTGAATACTGTTGGTTAACTATCTAATGCCCATCACTTTTTCTTTTTCTTTTCTTCTTATTAGAGAAAATTATGAACATATTTTAAAACAGGATAATTAACAACCCCCATGTACCCATCATTCAGCTTCAACCATTAGAAACTCATGACCAACCTTGCTTTATTAATATTCATTCTTCCCACCACCATATTCTTTTGAAGCATCTTATTTTATTTGTAAACATTTTAACGAATGTCTTTAAAAGCACTATTTTTTTAAAAACGTAACCAGCCAGCGCTTTAGCTCAGTGGCATAAAAGCCTGCTTGGCAAACTTGAAGTCAAGAGTTCAGTCCTCAGTACCAAAAACGAAAACAAAAACAAAAACAAAAAACCACCCTAACCAAAATACCATCCTACAATGTCCAAAATATCATTCCTACAATGTTGATTCCTTGATCATGTGACATTCTTACACAGTTAAAGTTTTATAGTACCTCATGTCGTAACTTTTAAAAACAATTTGGATGCCTTGGAATTCAAATGAAGTGTATATATGGAAACTGTCTTCTGAGTCCTTTTGGGCCAATAGGCTACCCCTTCTCACCCCTTTTCCCTAATATTCATTAACTGAAGAAACCATGTTATATATCCTCTGGGTTTTGCAATATCTGATTTCCCTGAGTATATTTGGTCACGGGTCTAGGGTCTTGAATAGATTCAAGATTACTTAGGTAGTGTTTTATCCTTCCATCAGAGGTAGGTGATGTTGGCAATTATTAATACTCAATGCCTAGATCCCTTTATTCAGTAGATGTTGGAAGTAGTGGTATCCTAAACTCTGATTTCTTTTTCACTTATTAGCTAGAATACTTGTATAAAGGGAAACTTCCTTCCTCTATGATTTGATTTTCCAGTTAATGAAGGAAGGGCAAGATAAGGATTTCATTTTTTCCCATAATGTGCCAGTTTTGAAAATAATGAGTTGATACACTAGTCATCTCCAACCCAGCTTGTTAGTTCATTGGTTGGAATGTTTGTAAATTCCCGAACTTAAAATTTCACATATTTGATCATCTTTTTCTTGATCATAGAACCTTAATTTTTGTTTAAATAGTAACAGTTGATCACAGAGAAGAAATCCTGGCCTAATTTAATTACACCTATCCATCCTCATGTTTGGCACTGTCTGGAGCAGGCTTGTAACTGCTCCTAGTCATAAATATGGTAGAGAGAAATACTCTAGAATTAGACTTCTAAAAGGACACCTCCACCTCCCACCCGGTTTTCCCCTCCTACTTTCTTCCTGTTGTCATATAAAGATTCCTTTGAAGAACAACTGCTGAAATTTGACACATCCAAATGGCTTCATGCGACACACATGCACAATTATGAACATTAAAATTGCAGACTTAGACTTACTGACAGAGAAAAACACCCAGGATATGTTGCTGATATAATACAAATCATTAAAACTATATCTGTACAACTGATAACAAGTGTGTGTGTTTACACTGATGAGGCCCGCATGGAAATACTTTCTCTTAATTAGTAAGAATGTCATCTGTGAGTGGTGAACTCGACTAATTTCTACATTCCTGTATTTTTCTATAAAGATACATTTTTATGTTAATAATAAACTTCTTATAAAAATGATTTTGGGTGATTTCTACTTAGTTCATATTACTTATTTTTTTCTAAATATATATTCCTATCATGAAAATTCTTTTTATATAAGACCTCATTACTAATATCACAGAATGTTTTCCATGGCATGATCAGAAAACAAGAAATATTTTAACTCTAGAATAACATTTCCTGATAAACATTTTTCTGGAACATTTAAGCATTTCCTTATCTGAATATTTTCATGATACTTACTTTGTGTAGCTCCTTGTTATAATTACTAATACTCTAGCCCAGTAGAATATAATCATCTTGTTGGAGAAGACAGTTTTCAGAAAAGCGCATGTTTTATTAAGAAGCGCATGTTTTCCATTCAACCAAGAAATAAAACGAGTATCTTTTTAACTTAGTGTTGTAAGTAGTTTCCCTCGGCCTACATGTAAGAAATTTCAATTTCTTTGGTCTATCTAATTGTCCTTTAAAAACTCCAAGTTCTTAAAATTTTTAAAAAAATTTTCTAAGGCCTCCAGAATAAAGTTAAAAAGGGTCCTTTCTTCACCTTCGCATGTCTGGTCCTGCCGGGACATTGCACAGGGATGGGAGGGTAGGCTGACTATCATAATACACAAAGGAAATAGAACTGGTGCTGTATGTCCTGCATCGTGAAGGACATACAACATTTGCTGTGGCAAATTCAGTGCAAGA